GGCTGTATGTGGGATCCGAACCCTCAGGCGGGAGCGCCGCCGCACTTCCCAAGCGGCGCACTAATCCAGTGCGCCACCGGGCCGGCCCAAGACTGAAGGGTTTTGAGCTTTCTGCTGCTCAGGCACTAAAGTCAACTCCTTTGTGCACAATTGCTTGAGTATGTGCATGTGTGTGTATCCACAAGGTAAATTTCTGGCACCAGAATTGTGTGTGCATTTACAAAGGTGATAATGGGTAACAAACTGCCCTCCAAAGGTGTTACATCCGTCAGTGCTCCCACCAACAGTGTGTGATAACATTATATGTTCCCCACATACTTAACTACGCTCAGTATTATCAAATTTCTCATTTTTCCTGATTTGTTAAATAAGAGTAATAGACTAGTCCCCCCTCATTCATGTGGCATATGTTCTAGGACTCTCAGTGAATGCCTGAAACTGTGAATAGTACTGAACCCTACATATAGTATGTTTTTTCCTATACATTCATACTTATGATAAAGTTTAACTTATAATTAGGCACAGTAAGAGATTAACAGTTTATATCAGTCTTTTCTTTAAAAAATAAGTAGAAATGTTACCTTTATGAAATAATTTCTAACATTAATTGAGTGCGTATCTCACACCATATAACTGCTGTAGGCATTTCTCATGTAATCTCATTTTAATCTAATGCTGAGAGTAAGTTGTGGTTTACTACCATTTTACAGATGAGAAAACTGCAGTGCAGAGCAATAGCCAATAGTCACAGCTTGTAAATGGCAGAGCTCCAGGATTCAATTCAGAGTCTGACTCCAGAGTGTGTTAACCACTGAGTTTTATTGCTGCTCATATATGAGGGCACTTCAAAAAGTTCCTGGAAAGATTTGTATTATCTTTCAGTTCTGTTTTTCCACGAACTTTTCTTAGTACCCTTGTATGTTTCCCATTTCAAATTAGATCAACTTCTGGACTCTATTCTGTTCCTTTCATCTGTATTTTTATATCTACCAAACTGTTTTAATTACTGTAGCTTTATAATGTATTTTAATATCTGGGAGATCTTTTTCAGATTCAACCTCATTAATCTTGTGTATTTATTTTTCTAGATGCATTTTCTTTTCAAGGGTAGGCTTGTCTTAAACCACTGTTCTCTTAGATAGTAACCTAGGATTTAGCAGTCAGAGCACTGAAAATTTTTTGAATCTTTTTGTTTACCCCTTTATAACTTCTAACTGTTAATTTTTATGTTTACTGTTATTCTACATTAAGTTTGTAGCTCACAGCACTTTGCCAAAAAGGATTATTACTAGGCAAAGAAAAAGTTTTATTTTTTATACATCCATGTGTGGGATGATCCATCACAATTTTTTTAAAGGGACATTTTGAAAATCATTCCGAAGCTAATAAAGAATCTATGGAGCTCTGGAGCTGGCACGAGCCCAGGTGTGGCACTGCCATGGTTGGGCACCCATCACGCCAGCTGAGTCTTGTGCTGGAACCTGAGCCCAGGATTCTTTGTTGTATCCCACTCTAGATGCGAAAGCTGTAGCATAAAACAAAATCTGAAAGTAATCAGATTTGCTGAAAATAACTACAGAGTAAAGTTTAAAACTCGAATATGTTGAGGGGGAGGGATGTATATACGAGGGTACTTTAAAAAGTTATGAAAGATTCATATTATCTTTTAATTCTATTTTTCCATGAAATTTTTGAAGTATCATATTTGGAAGAAAATGGATGTTTTGCTTCCTTTTTAAATGAAATTAGATATTCAGCTGCTTGTATACTCTTATTACATTGGTTTCTTACATTCTTGAGACTCTGGCTCCTTGATATTTTGCAAACTTCCCAGTTCTGAGAGCCCTATTTGTGTCTTTTATCATTTTCCATGGTGTGTCTGATTCTAGGAGTGTGAACAAGGAGACGATGGTGAAGTTTGTGCATACCTCTGTCCATGGTGTGGGGCACAACTTCGTACAGGCGGCTTTCAAGGCTTTCGATCTTGTTCCACCTGAGGCTGTTCCTGAACAGAAAGATCCAGATCCTGAGTTTCCAACAGTGAAATACCCAAATCCTGAAGAGGGTAAAGGTGTCTTGGTAACCTAATTTTATAAAAATTATAGTATCTATCGCTTCTCGGCCTTTTGGCTAAGATCAAGTGTAGTATCTGTTCTTATCAGTTTAAAAATTATAGTATCTACCTTTTATATTCAAAATTATTACTGTCAAGTAAATGAAGTTTTCATTGTGCTGAAGAAAAAATAATTTATTATTGGAAATATGTATATTTATCAGTCATCACTTTCTTAAAGGAACTTTCAAATTAGACATCCTAACATCAAGATGTGAGAGCCGAAATCTAAATGGTGCTTTAAATTAAATTAAATTAAATTAAATTAAATTAAATTAAATTAAATTAAATTAAATAAATTAAATTTAAATTTAATTTATGCTGCTTCCTTAATGCTAAAAAGAATGGAGGGTTAGCATATTATGATTTTTATTTAATTGTCATTTTTCTGATATGAAGAAGTGTTGTTTAAATTATGGTTCTTATAACATTTTTAAAGGTTAGGACAACAGTGATATTTAGAGAGTTGGTTTATTTTGGTTTGTTTGTGAGATTGATCACAGGGCGAGGCTCAGAAATACCAGTCCAGTCACACACATACTGTCACTTGTGGGGCAGATCAGGCGGGCAGGTTTGGGTCACACACTGATGCTCCCATTATCTTACTTCTGGTTTAGGAAAATAATATGTAACCAACCAAGACCAGCTCCAGAAATAAAATTCAGCCTTAGTTTGGGGAAAGTTCTCTTTTAGTTCTTAAAGAACTGAGCGTTTTTTTTTTTTGTTTGTTTGTTTTTTGTCTTATTTCCGTGTCCGGCAACGGATCGCAACCCTCAGTGTTGCCCCCGTACCGGACCGGGGACCGGCAACGGGATTGCAACCCTCGGTGTTGCTCCCGCGCCCCGCTCAGCCAGTGAGCGGGAACCGGTCCGTATGTGGGATCCGAACCCTCGGACGGGAGCGCCGCCGCGCTTCCCAAGCGGCGCACTATCCAGTGCGCCACCGGGCCGGCCCAAGAACTGAGCGTTTTTAAAGACTACAAATACGCTTGATGCTTGATGTAAGTAATCTTTTATTTTCATACTCTTTTTCAGACTTTATCTTTTGCTCTGGCTGACAAAACCAAGGCTAAAATTGTTCTAGCAAACGACCCAGATGCCGATAGACTTGCTGTGGCAGAAAAGCAGGAAAGGTAAAATTAATCATGATTACCTGTGTAACTGAAAATATAAAGGATGACATCTTCAGCAGTAAAGTGTTCCTGGGGAGACTGGGCCTATTTGGGAACATTTCCCATTTATTTTGCGAATGATCGTATTGAACCTTCTGGGGAGTCTTCTAATATAGAGCAGATGCTGCCCTGGGGAGATCACGTGCTTGGAAGCATAAAGGAGAGTAAATCAACCTAGTATGTACTTAGAACTGAAATTACTAATTGTGGTCTTCTCATTTTATAATTGACTTTATTACACATAATGTTTCATTGCCTAAGGAAGGCAAACTACTTTGATGGGTGCTGGCTCTGCAGTTCAGTATTTTCTTTTTTTTTTTTTTTTTTTTTTTTTTTTTTTTTTTTTTTTTTTTTTTT